GGTGCTCTTTTTTCCACCCCGGAGCCCCGTTTGCACCCGCCCCCGCCGGAAACTCGTCGCCGCCATCAGATGCCGAAGGCTCCGGAAATCGGTGCTTCCGATGGGTTTGGGGGGGATCACGGGGGGGGGATGTTGGTGATGGAACCAGCTGATCCCCTCGTCGGTGACCGCAGGGGCCCTGGGGATGGGGGTGGAATGAGGGGGTGGATCCCCCACTTTTGTCCCCCCTTTTCATCCCCCCTCCAGGAAGGGGCCCCCCGGCAGCTGGGTGCAAATCGGCGCTGGATCCTGCTAAATTGAGCTGGATCCTGGGAAATCCAGGCTCGATCCCTGCTAAAATGAGCTGGATCCCTGCAAATCTGAGCTGGATCCCCCTAAAATGAGCTGAATCCATCCCGAAATGAGCTGGGTCCTTGTAAATCTGGGCTGGATCCTGCTAAAATGAGCTGGATCCCTGCAAATCTGAGCTGGGTCCTTGATAAAATGAGCTGGATCCTGGGAAATCCGGGCTCGATCCCTGCTAAAATGAGCTGGATCCCTGCAAATCCGAGCTGGATCCCCCTAAAATGAGCTGGATCCATCCTGAAATGAGCAGGATCCTTGTAAATCTGGGCTGGATCCTGCTAAAATGAGCTGGATCCTACCCCAAATCCACCTGAATTCACCCCAAAACACAACCCCACAACCACCACCTGGGACCCTCCCCCTGCCCGGTTGTAATTAGCAGCACTGATTTCACTGCAAATCCAAGCTGGATCCCCCTAAAATGAGCTGGATTCTTGTAAATCTGGGCTGGATCCTGCTAAAATGAGTTGGATCCCTCTTGAAATGAGATGGATCCTGCTAAAATGAGCTGGATTCTGGAAAATCTGAGCTGGATCCTTGATAAAATGAGCTGGATCCCTGCAAATCTGAGCTGGATCCTGTTAAAATGAGCTGGATCCTTGCAAATCTGGGCTGGATCCTGCTAAAATGAGCTGGATCCCTGCAAATCTGAGCCAGATCCTTGATAAAATGAGCTGGATCCCTGCAAATCTGAGCTGGATCCCCCTAAAATGAGCTGAATCCATCCCGAAATTCCTGGGGAGAAACCCCCCCCTCCCCCCAAAAAAAGGAGGAAATGGCCCCGTTTTGAGAGCGGAAATGATCCGACCCATCCTGAAATGAGCTGGATCCTGGGAAATCTGGGATGGATCCTTGATAAAATGAGCTGGATCCCTCTTGAAATGAGGTGGATCCTGCTAAAATGAGCTGGATCCCTGCAAATCCAGGCTCAATGAGCTGGATCCATCCTGAAATGAGCTGGATCCCTGCAAATCCGAGCTGGATCCCTGCAAATCCAAGCTGGATCCCCCTAAAATGAGCTGGATTCTTGTAAATCTGGGCTGGATCCTGCTAAAATGAGTTGGATCCCTCTTGAAATGAGATGGATCCTGCTAAAATGAGCTGGATTCTGGAAAATCTGAGCTGGATCCTTGATAAAATGAGCTGGATCCCTGCAAATCTGAGCTGGATCCCCCTAAAATGAGCTGGATCCGTCCCGAAATGAGCAGGATCCTTGTAAATCTGGGCTGGATCCTGCTAAAATGAGCTGGATCCCTCTTGAAATGAGGTGGATCCTGCTAAAATGAGCTGGATCCTGGGAAATCCGGGCTTGATCCCTGCTAAAATGAGCTGGATTCTGGAAAATCTGAGCTGGATCCTGTTAAAATGAGCTGGATCCCTGCAAATCTGAGCTGGATCCTTGATAAAATGAGCTGGATCCTTGCAAATCTGGCCTGGATCCCTAACAAAATGAGCTGGATCCCTCTTGAAATGAGCTGGTTCCTTGCAAATCTGAGCTGGATCCCGCTAAATTGAGCTGGATCCCTCTTGAAATGAGCTGGATCCTGCTAAAATGAGCTGGATCCTGGCAAATCCAGGCTCGATCCCTGCTAAAATGAGCTGGATTCTGGAAAATCTGAGCTGGATCCTTGATAAAATGAGCTGGATCCTTGCAAATCTCAGCTGGATCCCCCTAAAATGAGCTGGATCCCTGCAAATCTGAGCTGGATCCTGTTAAAATGAGTTGGATCCTTGCAAATCTGAGCTGGATCCTGCTAAAATGAGCTGGATCCCTGCAAATCTGAGCCAGATCCTTGATAAAATGAGATGGATCCTTGCAAACCTGAGCTGGATCCTGCTAAAATGAGTTGGATCCCTGCAAATCTGAGCTGGATCCTGCTAAAACGAGCTGGATCCCTGCAAATCTGGCCTGGATCCCTAACAAAATGAGCTGGATCCCTCTTGAAATGAGGTGGATCCTGCTAAAATGAGGTGGATCCCTGCAAATCCAGGCTCAATCCCTGCTAAAATGAGCTGGATTCTGGAAAATTTGAGCTGGATCCCTCCTGAAATGAGCTGGATCCTGCTAAAATGAGCTGGACCCCTGCAAATCTGAGCTGGATCCCACTAAAATGAGCTGGATCCTTGCAAATTCGAGCTGGGTCCCTGCAAATCTAAGATGGATCCTGGCAAATTTGAGCTGGATCCTGCTATTCTGAGCTGGATCCCTCTTGTAATGAGCCAAATCCCTGCAAATCTGAGCTGGATCCTGGCAGATCCGAGCTGGATCCCTGCACATCAGCATTGGATCCGTGATAAAATGTGCTGGATCCTTGCAAATCTGTACAGGATCATGCTAAAATCAGCTGGAACCTGGAAAATCTGAGCTGGATCCTTGTAAACTGCACTGGATCCCTGCTATTCCCGGCTGGATCCCTGAAAATCTGAGCTGGATCCCTGCTAAACTGACCTGGATCCTTGCAAATCCGGCCTCGATCCCAGCTAATCCGAACCAGATCCTTGCAAATCTGGGCTGGGTCCTGCTGAAATGAGCTGGATCCTGGCAAATCCGGGTTGGATCCTGGCAAATTCCCAGTGCATCCTTGCAGATCCCTATTGCATCCTTGCAAATCCCCACTGGATCCTTGCAAATCCACCCCACGTGCTTTCCAATTGGCAAACCCGTGCCAGATCCTTGCAAATCCTTACAGAATCCCTGCAAATCTGAGCTGGATCCTTGCAATTCCACTCTGGATCCTTGGGAATACCCACCGGATCCTTGGAAATCTGTGCCAGATCCCTGGGAATCCCCACCGGATCCTTGCAAATGCCCGCTGGATCCCTGCAAATCCACTCTAGATCTTTGGAAATCCATGCTGGATCCTTGCAAACCCACCCCATGGCCTTCCCAATTGGCAAATCCGTGCCAGATCCCTGGAAATCCTCACTGGATCCTTGCAAATGCCCACTGGATCCCTGCAAATCTGAGCTGGATCTTTGCAGTTCCACTCTGGATCCTTGGACATACCCACTGGATCCTTGCAAATCCACACTGCATCCTTGCAAACCCACCCCGTGACCTTCCCAATTGGCAAATCCATGCCAGATCCCTGGAAATCCCCCCCCGGATCCTTGCAAATCCCCACTGGATCCCTGCAAATCTGAGCTGGATCTTTGCATATCCACCCTGGATCCTTGGAAATCCCCACTGGATCTCTGCAAATCCAACCCATGTGCTTCCCAATTGGCAAACCCGTGCCAGATCCTTGGAAATCCCCACCGGATCCTTGGAAATCCCCACCGGATCCCTGCAAATCTGAGCTGGATCCTTGCAATTCCACTCTGGATCATTGGGAATCTGAGCTGGATCCTTGCAAATCCTCACTGATTCCTTGCAAATCCCCACTGGATCCTTGGAAATCCACTCCATGGCCTTCCCAATTGTCAATTCTGTCTCAGATCCTTGCAAATCCCCACTGGATCCTTGGAAATCTGAGCTGG